ATAAAACTCTAAGTAGATCCGGGAGGTGCCGGGCGATGGGTGAGCGCCGCGACGGGTCTCCCCGGCAACCCCGGGGCCGGTGCTTGCACGGGCCGCCTGGTCCCCGCGGCTCAGGGCTTTCTCCTCGGGGATGCGGGGGCCCAGTGCTTCGCAGGGATGAGGGCTTCCCCCCTGTACTCCACGGGGATCAGGGGGCGCTGCTCGGTGGTTGTGCGGGGCCTGTGTCCCCCGGGACTGAGGGCTCCCCTGACCTGTCCCCTGCTGGTCCGAGGGCTCTGCTGGTCCCAGGCCTGAACCCCGGCGGCGCTGAGGGCACCAGTGGCCTGCTGAGAGGATTGTGGGAAGGCCCATAAGTACTGGGGAAAGGGGCGTTAGACATGACTGCTGAGAAACTGTTTGGTAGGTCATTGGGTTGTCCTTGGTTGTATTGTGTCCTTTGTCTCAGTGTCAGTTTAAGACAGTTTGGCCTGGCACTCCTGCCCTTGACTTTGTACTCTGCTGGAGATGATGACACATTCACTCAAAACCTTATGCTCTTACCAGCATTTCTTCTAATAGTGGCAGCTGTTCAAAGCATAGGGAATAGGTGCTACTTCACATTCATATCTATGTTGAACTTCTTGGGCAGAAGGAGCACAGCTCTTTTTCTTTCCCTTTAACACCATATTCTTTCCGCTGCTGCGCCAGGATCGTTGGTTTAATTGTGTATCTGTTAGCAGCCTTTCAGACACACTAACTTGTAGTTTCTCTCTCGGTAGCAATTGTTTGTTTCGGGCCCTGGGAGACCAGCTTGAAGGGCACTCACGGAACCACCTCAGACATCGCCAGGAAACGGTGGATTACATGATAAAGCAGCGGGAGGATTTTGAGCCTTTTGTGGAGGATGATGTGCCCTTTGAGAAACATGGTATGGTCTCCGTAGGAGGGAGGTTGTTGTGTAATGTGATTACATCTCATCTGAGCACCTTATTACTAAACAGTTCCTCATCCCACAGCTGCGTTAGGGCTCCTCTCTAGTTTTCAGAAACAATGAGTTTACATTTCTCTGTTATGTTTCTGTAGAAAGATGAGCCATTAAACTTGTATTATATTTGTCTTGAAAGTTGTTTAGGAGAAACTTGGAGAAGGGAAGAGAGGCAAACAAAGGCAAGGAGTTAAAATTCAGTGTTTTCAAAAGGAACCTGCAAAAATTATCTAGCTCTCCATGAATACTGGTGGGTGTTGAGTGGCAGATTTCTTTGGGTTTCTTTTTTTCCTCGACACTTGGTGTTTCATAGTGGTAACCCAGGGATGATACAAAGCAGAGACTGATAGAGCCTTTGTTCTAACAGCTTCAAGGATGTGCCAGCTACCATGCAGGTTATGCATGAAAGAGGTTTGGTCATTTAGTACGTGGCACTCTTCTGAGCTAAAACAGAGCTGATGGTCTTGCGTAATCAAAGGGTGTACTGCGTTTTTTAGAGGTTTCTGTGGTCGTTTAAGATGCATTAACTTCTGTTACTGCCAAAATCTTGCCTCAGCAGTCAGTGTTTCACAGTCAGGATTTCCTTTCCAGAATTTCTTGGGCTGGTGTTGAAATTTTGTTACTCGCTATCCCTCCAGTGCTTTTGGAAGTGTCAGAAACCAGGTTTCCAACTCTTCTGAATGTTTTTTTCCTTTAGTTACCAATTTGGCAAAGCCTGGTACCTTTGCTGGCAACGATGCTATTGTGGCCTTTGCAAGAAACAATCAAATGAATGTGGTTATTCATCAGCTTAATGCTCCGCTGTGGCAGGTGAGAAACAAAACTTCTATATTTTGGCCTAATTTTTAGCTGATGGATACAAATCCTGTTGAAACTTCCTGATCTATTCAAAGGGAGCAGTCAGTAGTTGTAATCAGCTGGGCATGGTGTAAAGCTGTGCTTGGTTTTTCAGTCTTGGGGGAAAACAGTCCAGATTTCAGCTAGGGAGCGGGGGAATGAAGGAAAACAATGAATGCATGAAAAATCAGTATGTGGAGACAGAGCAGAATGGTTTAGTTTGGTTTTAAGATATTAACTTCATTGATATGTTTCTGTCTCCTGAAGATCAGGCTACATATGGGGTGACTTTTCTGATAGGAATTTGAGCCAGGGTTAAGGAAACCTGTATGATAAGGTTCAGGAATATGGAAGAGAAGGTATAGCAGGGCAGTCCCTGCAGTGTGTTGGAATGAAGCTCCATCAGTTCTGCATGGGATTTGGAATGAGAAGGTTTCTGACGGTTGGAGAAATGAGGTTCTGGACTGGGCAGAAGATGGAATAAGTTTTAAAACCTTCAGGCGGTGATTAATCAGCTCCTGGAAAGGACTGTGTGTATAGTTTCCTCTGACAGTGGGGCACTGGAACAAGTAATCCATCACGTCCCTCCTACTCTCTTTTTTGCTGTTTTTCCGTGGCAAGTCCACACTGGGATGGGTTCACGCTTGATCTCTGTCTGCTCATTGAGCAAGTGAGAACCGGTAATCAAGCCAGGGTCGTTTCTGGCCCCAATTTACAGACAGAACCAACGAAGTGTATAGATTAAACTGGGCAATAAAGACCAAAGACCAGATGAAAGCTGTCAGTGGTGTCTTAAATATATTTGAAACGGTGTCAGGTGGATTCCTGAACCCAAACAAGTTTAAACTCTTATTTCTATGGCAGCCATGGGCTTTAAGAGCAAATCCAAAATACTCACCTACTTGACCTGCAGGAGAGTTCATGGGGGTGCTGTTCATGTTTTGTTACTGCTTTGAGCCAGATACTCACCTCAGTGTACTGAAATTTTCTGTGTTTTGCATATCCAAACTCCCTTTCCCCATTCATTGACCTTTCCAGGGTTGTAAATACAGAGTTTGTGATGAGGTTCTGTTTTGCCTGAGCGCAGTCTTGTTAGCAAAGGGTTGTCTTAGGCACTTGAGAACAGTGTAAGTAAAGAGAGCTGTTAATAGTTTTAACAGAAGGAGTCTCCTACCCGCACAGAGAATGCATTGGGACATCAAAGTCTGTAGGGCATCACAACATAGTGACAATGTTAGGAAGTTGCTAGACTTAAGTAACCCAGGACATTCTTTTTTTCTTCATTTTCTATACTTCGACATACTTTTTTTTTTCCCCCCCCCTCTCTACTTTGGAGCCCTAGCAAAATTTTAGAAAGTTAGATTCCAAAGACCGTTTCCAGAGAGGCAGATTAGCAAGATGCATAAAGCAGATGGTGTAAATATCTCTTTGGTCTCAGGTCTAAAGCAGATGGTGAAATATCCTTTAATTTTAAGAGAACCGTTTGTATACACCGCAGCTAAGCTGGAAAAATGTGAGCAGAAGGTTCAGGACCTCCAGCTGTTTCTCAAGATCTGGCCTAATCTAAAGCTCTTTGGAGGTAGGCATCTGCATGGCCTTTTTAATGTTTTAAACACCATTTACCTTTTTCTGATAGTGACTGTAAATGCAGAGCTTTGAGTTAGCTCAGATGTATAGGTTATTTTTTTAGCTTTTTGGATAACTGCTTACCTTTTTTTCAGTGTTTTTGCCTTTTTTTAATCTGCAGTTATCTTTTACTTACAGTTCCAGTGTACCATGGGAAGAGCATGCAAAAAGAAGCTTCACTACTGAGCACTAAATTGGCTAATTATCAGAATAATCTTTAATAAAAGCTCTTGAGATACCTATTTAGGCTCTGGCAGAGGAAAAATGTTGGAAATAAATCTTATGGGGTTCCAACATGTTGAATAACTTGGTTGGACTGGATGATCTTCAAGGTCTTTTCCAACCTAGACAATTCTGTGATAACTTAATAGCATAAAAGACAGGAGTTAAGTATAACCAAGTGTTGAGTCAGAACTTAGAGATGAGTAAGTGTAAAATAAATCAGTGGCGAATATGTCTTCTGAAATCTGAAGTCATTAGCACAGCATGAACTGCAGATGTGGTTGAAAGGTGACTTGGTGTTTATTCGTAAATTAGGATAAGCTGATTCAAAGACGTAAAAGGATTGGGAAATTCTGGAGCCCTAAAGCAAGTGTTTCTTTTTGTTTACTTACTGACATCTTCTCCAGGAAGGCTGTCAGATCTTTGAACTCTGGCTTGACAGGTAAACAAAGGAGATCTGCAAATGCAGTGTAATTTTCTGGATTTCTTGAAAGAGTTGGAATGCTGTGTAGCTTTTAGCTAATAGTTTAGAGGGATCTGGGGGTGTTGAGTGACAGCCGGCTGAACATGAGCCAGCAGTGTGCTCAGGTGGCCAAGAAGGCCAATGACATCCTAGCTTGTGTCAGCACTCGCATGGCCAGCAGGTACAGGGAAGGGATCTGAGCCCTGTGCTCGGCACTGGTGAGGCCGCCCCTTGATGAGTGGGTTCAGTTTTGGGCCCCTCACCCCAAAAAGGCCATTGAATGACTCGAGCGTGTCCAGAGAAGGGCAACGGAGCTGGGGCAGGGTCTGGAGCACAGGTCTGCTGGGGAGCGGCTGGGGGAACTAGGGGGGTTTAGTCTGGAGAAGAGGAGGCTGAGGGGAGACCTCCTGGCCCTCTGCAACTCCCTGCCAGGAGGGGGCAGAGAGGGGGGATGAGTCTCTTGAGCCAAGGAGCCAGCGCCAGGCCCCGAGGGAATGGCCTCAAGCTGCCCAGGGCAGGGTCAGGCTGGCTCTGAGGAAGGATTTCTGTGCAGAAGGGGCTGTTGGGCGTTGGAATGGGCTGCCCAGGGCAGGGGGGAGTCCCCGGGACCCCTGGAGGGGTTGAAGAGTCGGGCTGAGCCAGCGCTGAGGGATCTGGGGGAGTTGGGAACGGTCAGGGGGAGGGTCATGGTTGGACTGGAGGAGCTTCAAGGGCTTTTCCAACCAAGATGATTCTGTGATTCTGTTTGAGACACTGATGATTGGGGTAGGAATGATACAGATAATACTCAGAGCAGGAATTTTCTACAGAAACTGCTGTACTTGGCGCTGACAAAGCGAGGGGACATTTGGTTGTTAACAGTGCTGCTGCATGGAATTAATACATTGCATGGTTTAGCTTTATTAGTCTTTCTTCTAAAACCAAAACATAGACACTTTGAATTCTTGCTGTTAAAACAACATCTTGGCCCAATGGCACAACCAAACTTACTCTGGGTGACTGTCCCCACTGTGATCATAACTTGAACGGACTCCTTTTCCCTCATTTTTGAGGGGAAGAAGGCATTGTGCCCTGAATGGGAGCTGTTGCTGAAATTGGGTCTGGGAAGGTGATCAGAAAGCTAATCACTCCTGTGGAAAGTTTAGAAAATAGTTTTGAGCTTTCCACTGAAATATTTTCATACCCTGTTTTGTTTGTTATGGTGTAACTGACCCAGTGGTGTGTATCTGGTTTTCGGACATTATCTTTGAGGCCGAAGCTCCAATGTTACTGTAGGCACATCTGGATTATTAGGTCAGTGCTTCCTGTTTAGAGATGCCTCAGGAGCTACGTACTTTGCTTCTGATCAGTGTTTATCATTGCTTAATAAAACTAATACTTTGAAAAACATGATGCTGAATTTGATTCCAAATCCTCATTTGCAATTTGTTTCATTTAGATTCGGGGCACAAACAAAAACAACGTGAGGGAACTTCATATTGCCTATCGTTATGGAGAGCACTACGACAGCGTGAGGAGAATCAATGATGATTCTGAAGCTCCAGCGTATCTTCAGATGGAGGTTGGTTATGACAGAGCGACCTGGGTCAGCTGCAGGTGATAAATAAAACAGATGAATGTTACCAGTTGATTTCCTCTCTCATTTTCATTGAGAAAAAGTTTGGTCCCTGTGTCATGCTGGGAATAGAATTGCTCCTGAGGTCACTGTAACTAGTGCTGCCTGCTCGCTTGAGATGGGCTGTGAAGTGTCTGCACTATAGGGCTGGAAATCAGTCCCGGATCTGATGCTGTGATGTGGGCTGTGGAGGTCTTGAAGCATCCCCATCTAAGTTACGTACTTGTGCACCTCAAATGCAAAAACAAAGGGAATGGAGAAAGAGACAGAAATGCAACAGCTGGATGCAGTAGTCCTCTTCGTATCTCACTTTTTTGTGTTAAGGAGTAAGCTGTGCTGTCCTTGAAGTTCATTTCAAAAGCCAGTAATTGTTTTTGTGTGATCTTGTAGTATTTGGTGACAGTTTGCGTGTGAATCATGGGAGACAGCGTCAGTGATGATGGAAGTTCCACAGTTCCCAAGATGCTTTGACACAGGATATTTGAGAAAAGTCTGCCGTAATAATTACAGTTATGACTATGTCAGATTTTTTTACTGTATAGGATGAAATTGCTGTGTGCTCGTGTGACCTGCTGGTCTTTGCTTTTCTTGCAGATGCTTTGCAAAAATGATTCAAATAAGAAGGAGGAAGTGACGCCACAGAAGGGTGATTCTGAAGATGAGATTGAAGTTGAAATGGAAGACGCTGTACAAAAAGTGTGTAATGCAACGGGATGTTCAGTAAGTATTGAGTAGCCTTTTTGTGCTTAATGTTCAAGCCTTGATACATGAAAGTAGCCTTGGGAAAAATTCTAAAAAATACCCATCTTGGGACAATTTCAGTACCACTGCCATAAATCAGGATGCAGTTCATCCTAGACTCAACCCTTAAATGCAGATGAAATATGTGTGTAGATACCTAATAATTTTGGAAGGTTTGTCTCGCAATCTGTCAGAAAATTCAGTTTGAAACAAATTCTGTAAGATTTGAAATCCTTTGAGGATGTCAGTAGTTGGGCATCCCAACTGAGTAGATAATCTGTGAATCTTTGCTGTTGTCACCGGGTAGCCTGTGTGGTTCCTGCAGGTGCTGCTCACACTGTGCAAATGCACAGAACAGAAAGGGCCAAGGGTGAAACGGTTATGCTGAAACATCATATTCCTTTCTCCTGATATCTTCAGGATTTTATGATTTTTCTCCCTTGCCTTTTTCAGAAGTGGAACAGAGGTTAATTGAAATGTCATAAAAGCAGACAGCAACCCCCTCCCAGTGGTGCAGATGGTTGTTAAATGAATGTATGTCAGTGATTTGAACTCTCTTCAGGGTTATCTTTCTCCTCTGTGGACAGGACACTGATTTAGTAAGCCACATTCTGGAAGTGGAAGACTACAATATAGAATCTGCAATATTTGCCATCTTTCGAGTGAATGAAGTGGAAAGAATCAGTAAGTACATGGAGTTTGTTGCCTGGTGCTTCAGAAGGATGCTGAGGTTAATGTTCACTGTAAACAGCAGTTCAACAGGGACAGTAGCAGTTGAAGCTTGCTGTTGACTGTGCTGCCACCTCAGCCTTCCTGTGCTCAGGAAGGTTATTGACGAGGGCAGATTTAATCCAGCTTTCAAAAAAACACTGTTCCCAAAATTCTGGAAGAAACAATTGGCTGATGGGGTGACAGCTTCTGGGTAGAGTGTGTCTGAGAAAAGCCTCTGTTGTTGGTAGGCGCTGAGGAGCAGCATGATCCCCAGAGCAAAGATGAGAAATTGTGTAGCAGAACTCTGCAGGAAGAAAATGGAAGTGCTTCAAGAGTCTTTGGAAATCAGAGCTTGCATCAAGGTGAAATAGAAAACAACAAAGGACAGGCTAGATCCGATGAAGAGAATCGAGCCAGCAGAAACCCAAAGGTATACGAAGGATAATTTGGTGGGGATTTGCATGCCCTTTAACGATTAGGGGATTGCTTAATCAGCAATTATCTTCTCCTTTGAAATAAAACCAGCTTCCGCTTACCGGATTTTGTTGCTGTTACAGCTGCGTCTTCTCAAAGGCAAACATTTAATAGTGACATGTGGCACCTTCCCAAAATGGCACAAAATAAAGTCCAGATAACTCGTTTGGAATAAACAATCCCTGGCAGCTGCTTTGATATCTATTTGTCTCCCTTCCAGTGTATTATTTTTCCCCAACTGAGCAGAAGACTTGTGTTCTCAACTTTGTGTTTTCATCCTCCCCTTTCAGGTATCTAAAAAACAAAAGAAGGAACAGCAGCGGCTGGAGAAGAAGAAGCGGCAGGAGGAAAGGCACCGACAAAAGGTCTTGGCCAACAAGAGTAACTGTGCAGATAGCAAGAGAGACACAGACTCAAACAACCACGTCACCTTGGTGAAGGCCATGGCAGCTCTAAACATATGACTGGATGTGTTCAGAGCGCTCTGGTGAGAAAAGCAAATAAAACTGATGAAGACAGAACTCCCCTTAAGCAAACTGCCAAGCACCTATTGGTATCTTAAAATCCGTTTCTGCGGAGATCTCTAAGCACACATCAATTTCCTGTTTCTTCGATTGTGGGGCAAACAATTATTCAGTAATTCTGCATCAGCCGGTGTGTGAGAAGAGCTGTATGTGCTTGACAAAAAGTAGAGACTTGTTTTTATCATTTTGGAGTTAGATGAAGGTGAGAACCTTTTCGCCACACAGCATTGTCAGCTTTGATTTGAGATCTCTTGATGTACTTAGATTATTTTTTTCTTAATAGCAAATTTTTACTTGGTTACGCTTGGAGGAGCTTTATTTTACCCTGCTATCAGGGAAAGCTTAATAATTCAACTCAGGAACATGGGGCGCTTTTTTCTATTTAAATAAAGTAAGGGAACAGAATCCCAGAATCCTTTTGAAAGCGAACTGTGTCAGGCAACACTATCAGACATGAGATTCCTCTTTTTTCCCATGCAAGAATGCAGTGATAAGATTTAATCTTAACTAGAACTGCTTGTGTTGTTGCACCAGGCTGTTTCAGAAGCGATTAATACATGAAGGGAGAGCAGGATTGCTACATCCGTGCTTGCTTCTTCCTTAAGTTTGAGACTGGCTCGTTTGCTAGCTGTTGAGACCTGCAGGGAGAAGAAAAAGAAAAAAATTATTACCAGTGGACTTGTGAGACTGCAAAGCCAATTCAGCCGATCTGGTGAAGTCTAATGAGGTTGTAAAATGTGACGTGAGCAGATGTGAGATTTCTGTTGAGTGTTGTTACTGGGCTACTCCAGAGCTTTAGTCCAAGCCAGGAACTGCTAGTCTCCAAAGGAAATTAGTATAGCCAAAGGATCAAGAGTCCTGGGAACAAGCTTCCAAGCAGCAGTGATCACTGGGAACCCTGCCTGCTTCACTCTTCATAAATCAAGCTTTTTCCAGGGTAGGATTTTTTTCATCTTGAATTCCTCTTTGGTAAGGTCACCAAGTACTGTAGTACGTACAGGCTGAATCCTGTGATGCTTCCCACTATAGGATTGTGAATTTGGACTGAGGTGTAAGGACTGTGGGACTTGGCCCTTGATTTATGGCTTGCAGTGTTTCAGCTTCACTCAGCTTTTTGGACTTGGATCAAGCGCTGAGCTTGAGGAAAGCACATATGCACTTACACACACAATAGGTAACAGGAGACCTCATTAGCCAGGGCAGAGACAATAGATTTTTTTGAAAGTAAGGAATTTTGCTTTTGAAAAAATTCTATGCAAAAATTCTTTGAAGTTTCCAAATCGGCATGGAAATAAAAATGCCTTTATTGACGGAACTGACAAGATCTGAGCTAGTACTTCTTCATACGCTCTGCTACTATTTATCGAGCATTTGAAGAATAAAAAGAAAGGAGTTCTGCTTTAGGTACTGGTGGTGTAAGAGAGCAGGCTTTAATGCTGGTGAAGAAGTGCCTTTGGTTCCTCTAATGAGCTTGGTGGAAATAAAAAGTAATACAAAGCAGCTCTCATGCTTTATGGTGGGACATAGTGTCTGGCCAGTGAAGCAGCGTGTTCGGTGCTGCTCTGAGTGCCAGGTGTGAGTAACTGCTGTACAGGGAGGTCTGAGTAGTATTTCATAGGGAGAGCATGGATGAGTCTTGAATTCACAGTACTGTTCTTAAAGTGAAAAATTACTTTGGTAAAATCCATTTTACACCAACCTTAGCCTGTTGATAGCAATATTGCTTCCTGGAATTCTTTTTTCTCGAAACAGTCACTTTTATAGTAGTGGAAAGTGGCAAGTTGTAGCTTAATGGGGAGAAAGTGCAAGTCACTTCACAAGTGTGATGGGTTGAAGACAGTGGGCATAGCAGGGTGGCTCAGGTAAACGTGTCACCTCTTTCTTGCCCAGCCATATTTTGATTTGAAAGATGGGTAGATTCTGCAAGTTTGAAAAGATAACAGGAATTTGCAGTTGTACACTACAAATAAGATGTTTGATCTTAATGAATTGCTTTTTTGTCTTCCTGAGCCAGAGCTGATAAGAGGATTGTTGTTGCTTTGAGCCCATTGAGCCGGGAAGGGAGTTGACCAGCAGCCAGCAGATGGGAAGCTGAGCTTCTGTAGGTGTGAAGGGATCTGCAAAGCCTAACCTCATCCAAGGCCAGGCCTGCGACAGCAATGCAGCTTCAACAGCAAAGAGAGGCTCATGGCCTTGGATACCTGTAACCAAATATGTGGCTCAAAATGCTTTTATTTCCAGGTGTAATACGATTAAAACAAACTCTTGCTGTGCTGGGCTTCTAAGTCTTGTATATTTGCCAGTATAGCTTTGTACCTGCAAAAACATTTTGGATCCAAAGATGTTAAAACTTTCTGTTGCAGATTTTTCCTTTAGCTGTTGAAATTTCCACCTGCCCCTATGATGTGTATTTTTTTAGGGAATCCTTATGCCACGGTCCTCAGGCAACTCACTTTTCTGCAGAAAATTTGTTTTGTACACAAAGTCATGAATTTTTTCCGCGCAGGAGGAAGGGAGGCAAAAACTGAGAGAAACATGATTCATAGCTCGTGTTTACTCCTTGGTGGAGCTAACTGTGTGGTCATAGGACAGCAAGCACTGCACGTTCCCTTGGTGTTTGAGGAGGATTACTGTTTGTTCCGAGCTGCTCGCTCACAGCTCGGAGGGTCACGAGTGGGCAGAGGGCCAGAGGTGTGATGTGACTGCTGCTGGACTGGCAGCATCACTGTCAGCCTCTTCAAGGTACTGTCATGGCAGGACAGTGTAGAAAGCTGCTTTTCCTGCATCATATCTACCACCATTGTCTTCCCCAAACTTATTTTTACCAAATCCTGCCTTTCCAGGTAAGGGATTCTGCTGAACTGGAAGTTTTAAGCGTTTAACTGGGTTTTGTCTGCTGCCCATGTGTGTCTTGGCCTATCAGTGGATAGGAGGGCTCTTCTGCTTGTGCTCCTCAGTTTCTGGTGTACCTCGTTCCTTCTTGGAGGGCTGCCTTTTGGTTTATTTTTTGCTTTTTTTGCCTCATCTGCAGTGCCTCAACAGCAGCAGAAGTCACCTCATCTGCGGTATCCACATCCACGGTGCTCTCTGATTCCTTTTCTGCTGGAGTCTGTTGAAACTATGCAAGAGTTTTCTTCTCCTTTCCACCTCTGGACTCTCAGCAGAGAACCTGCTTCTGTTACCAACCCAAACCTCTGGTTTTTGGATGCTGAGTGCAATAAAGGTGGCAGAGATGTGCCAGCTGAACTGTGCCAGTGGAGCTGTGTGTATGGGGCGCCCTGTGGGTTAAAAGGCAAAACTCGCAGACTAATTTAATGAGCCTGCAGAACCCGAACCCTTCCTGGGGTTGCGACCTGCCTGCTGGGGTGTACATTCACCTGCCGGTCTTCACAAGCTTCAGAAATTGCAGAAAAGGAGGGAAATGGTGCATGAGGTATCCAGTGTTGTATAAATTGGAGGTGGTTTATGCTCGTGTTGAGGTGTGCGGAGCTTGTTTGCAGGCACAGAACCTTAGAGGGCAGCATTGGCTTCATCAGCTCTGTCCCAGCTCGCTCTTCTCTCATTCCAAAGCCTTTGGGTGGCACCAGAAAATCAGAAAAAGGAGGAATATGTGTATTGGAGTTATAAAAATACCATGTTTACTGTAGGAAGTGTGAGGAAGGGGTAGGTGTGTTGCTTGTGATGAAACGCTTCATGGAGTCAGGCAGGAGTACTCGCTGAAGTGAAACAAAGAAAATATCCTTAAAATACCTTTATTTTAGGACCTCCCCTGCTCTGAAGATGTGCTAAACAGATCTCTGGAGATGGTGTTAAAACCAGAGGTGCCTCCATCGAGGTCAAGGTGAGGGACAGCTGGCCCTGGCTCCTTAGGGCTAATTGTGGATCCTGTGCAGCTGCGGTGAGGGATGAGGTGGCTGCAGCTCCCTGCCCTGTAGAACTTGATGGAGATGGGGTGCAAGAAAGAACCACCCCAAGGTCCTGAGACCACCACCATGCTCCCCCACGACTTTAGAGAGTATTAATTTCTTAACTAGTTGTTAGGAGCAGGATAGGGCTGTGTGGCAGCCAAGCTCCATGAGAGGAGCTGGGTCTGGACCCTGGTTTGGGGTCAGAGCGCAGCAGCCACTCACTGTTGATCCTTTTTTTTTTTTTTTTCCAAAGCTCTTAAGATTTACCGGTTGGCTGCTAAAATGTCACTTATGGTAAATGTTTTTTTAAGGAAAAAAATGCAAAACTGTTTGCATGCATAAATATTTACTTCAGAAAATCAGCTGTGAAGCTCTGCCCCGTTTCCTACCCCTTCCACCGTTGGTTCCTGAAACAAGAACACCACACTGGATGCCCTTCAAATTGTCTTTAAAAATTTATTTTTATTTGCAGGGATTCCCTTGGGTTTATGATTTATTTAATCACAGGGAGCAGGCTTTCCCTGTGCACCAGCTCTGGGGAGAGGTGCCGGATGCCTTTTTGGTGCTGCAGGGCCATACTGTCTCCAGCTTGTCTGCAGGGAAGGTAAAAACCCCACAGTTAGACCATTTCTTTTGGGTTTTGAGCCCGGCGTGTCTAGCAGGGGGGAGTTGGGCCCTTGCACAGAATATTGAGGTAATTCTTGTAAGCATTGCGGTAGGTCCCAACTGTCCTTCCGAAGCACTCTGCTGCCTTCTTGTCGCAGTCGCAGGTCTGTCTTTGGCACCAGGTCCCAGATCCTGGAATAAAATTGGGGGGTGGATGGAGTCAGGCAAAGGGCACAAGAGCTGCGGGATGTCTTTTGGATCATCCCTGATATCATACACAGCCCCCCCAGTGAGTTTGGGGCGTCTTGGGTTGTCCTCTTGCTTCTGGTGGATGGGGCTACCTGGCTGGGAACGATGCATGGCCCTGGAGGGACCATTTAATTTACTTTATACATGTATATATGTATAGATATTTGATCACAGGGAAGTGCTTTGTTTGGATACACTCACCCTGAAACAACAGTGTTTGCTCGGGGGAAATTGGGGCAGCAGTGCCAGGGCCCCATCCGAGATAGTCACCTCAAACCCTCAACATTTGGCCTCTACAGAAGGGCAAGGTCCCTCCTTTGGGAGGTCTCCAAGTGCTAAATTCACCCTAGTCCTGGCAAATTTGCCCTATTCCTGGCGCTTTCCCCTCATTTCAATCCCCTTCCCAACAAATGGTTTCCAAGCCAGGAGGGTCTAAAGGACATCTCAGAAGAGGGGTCCCGTGAGACCGTGGAGGGTTGTGCCTTCCCTCTCGGGTCCTTGACCCTGTGCCGTCTCTTACCACAGATGATCTGGCTTCCCCGTGTAGTGTAGTTGTACTTGACCAGTTTGGGACTACAGCGAGAGGAAGCCAGCCTCTTGTAGCAGCAGTCGTGGGCATGGCAGCACCTGGGAGCACAAGAGTGGTGGTCAGGGCAGGTGCCCAGCCCCATGAGAAACGCCTTGTATTTGTGCCCGGGGTCATGCGGCAGCCTTGTTCATCTCGGCCCTGCCCATGCTGCAGGAGCAAGGGAGGGTGCCTCATGTTGTTGGCGCAGCAATAATTGCTTTCCCCTTGCTCTGCAGCAGCTTTGCAGGACACCTGAGGGCTGCTTTCAGTTAGCCCAGGTGGTCGTTGGCTTTTGATGTGTTTCTGCCGAATGCTGTGACGGCAGAAAAACCGCCGATGCATGCCGTTCCCATCAGCTGGCGCTGCTGAGCACTTTTGCAGAGGTGTTAAGGATGAGCAGTGATTTTTCACATTGCTCTCTCAGCTCCCAGGCACAGGGGCAAACAGTCCCCTTGCTACACCCAGGGAGAGGGAGCCAAGGAGGGCTGGGGGCACCCGCTGTGCCTTCGCCAGGTCCTGACTTACCAGTCGGTCGCATCCAGTGGCTGTTTGGATCCTCCTATGCCACAGTAGCAGCCGTAACCGTTGTAGGACAGTGATGATTTCCTGGTCTTGTGCTTAATCATTGAACTGAACTGAAGCAGGTTGCAGCTGGCGAGGGTCAGCCCTGCGACTGTAGCCAGGGGGTTTAGGAGCATCAGGGAAAAGCAACCTCCCATCCCACCCCTCTAGCAAAAATGAGCATTTTCACCCTCCCTAACTTTATGGATAGCAATTGCAAGCAGCAGGTTTTCCCCACTGCCTCATCCAGCAGGGTGAGAGCTGGTATGGGGGTACTCACGGCAGAAGAGCAGCAAGAAGAGCTTCATGTCTCGTGGTGGCAGCTCCAGGGTTTGGATGAGCCCAAGGTGCTGCTGGTCGCACCTTTTATAGCCCCCGTGTGCCCGCTTGGCAGGGCCCCTCCTTTGAGGAACCCGAAGTGGGCAAATATTGACAAACCTCCCCATATCAGTCCTGCTACATGTGCATTGCCAGATGCCCTATGCTGGGGAAGCTCTTTGCAGGGGAGGCTTTGGTGGACTGGGATGAGTGGGGCAGACTAGAGTCAAGTTCACGCATGGTTCTGGGTGCCTCAGCGTCCCGGTGCCTCTCTGAACAAAATGGGAGAACAAGGGGGGGAACAGGAGCCACTTTGTTCCTGGATGACTATTAGTTTTTTGATGTCCTGGTTAGAAAACACCGTTTTGTATCTTACTGTTTCCCATCATGACTTCCCTGGGCAGGGAGAAAACGCAGCCAGTGCAAAGCATCCTCCACTTCTGACTTGGCAAGGCGGGTGCACTGGAGCACCGTGAGCGGAGGAAGGTCCTGCGGGTCCCCAGAATGGGCTGTGGCTGAAGGTAGAGCTGAGCAAAGGCTCCGTACGCCCCTTTTCTTGTTAGTGGGAGCTTGGCAGTGCCCAGCTACTTCTTGCGTGTGGGGCTTTTCCATCGCTCTCCCCACATGCACTGGGCATCACACCGACCATAGCACGAGGTGTCTAGTTCACCTTTACAGGGAAGCAAAATAAGGCAAGAAGCAGAGTCAGGAAAATAAAATGCAAGCAGTGTATAATGGGTTAAAAAAGAGGATGGTTGTGGTGTTTGCTTGGAGAGAATCTCTAATTAAATAGGTGATGCCAAACAATCATTTTAGCAGTTTTGTTCTGGCAGAGGGTGCAGGTGCTCTGTGTTGCTTTGCAGGGAAGCCCGGCATGGGCAGGCACCAAGCCAGGGTGAGGAAATCCCACCTGTTGCTGATGGGGAAACTGAGGCAGGGAACAAGGCTGCAACTTGCATGGAAATTGGAGAGATGGTGAGAAAAGGGAACTCAAGTCAGGGCCTCAGCAAAATCTCTTCCCCTGTCTGGTACATGCTATTTGCCTCATCAGCTCTTGGGGCCAATTTAAATTAGACCCAAGGGACAGCAGCGTTAATTAACTGAACCAGGGCTTGCCATAATTCAAGATTTTCTGAGTCCACAGCCAGTTTTTACCACTGGGGAATAAGGTATATTTTTGTGTGTCAAACTGGTTGAGCTTTCAGATGAAAGACCCTCTGCCCCAACTCCTCTACCTGCTGTGGGTTTGCAGTAGCCCTTCTCCAAATGTGAAAGAAGGCACCCCCCGGGCCAAGCACCTCCTGGCAGGATGGAGATTATGTTTCTCTGTTGCAGTATGCAAAACACCACTTTTGCAGCCCAGTTTCTTGTGATGTATAGAGGGAGGGCAGTATCTGAGTCAACACATCACCATTTGGAGCTCTGTATGAATGGATTTGTACAGCCAGGTGTCTGTAGAATACATAGATGTTTAAAGTCTGGGTGAATTTTAACTAGAGAGAGTGTGTTTTGGCTCATCCCGGCCTGCAATCTGTCTGCATGATTGTCCCTCTCCCATCTCGGTGGGGATTTGATCCTTGATTTATGCCTTGCAAACAGCAGCTGGTGGGTGAAGGGCTGCCCACTCCTTCCTCATCTTCCCCAGGACTAAATGCTGCTGGAGGAGGAAGATAGCAGAGGGAAGCACGGGATGATGGGTTGTAACAGAGGGAAGCATTGCTGATTTTAAGTGATGTTTCCTGGTGCTGTTGACTTCAGCTTTGGGGTAAACCCGGGTGGGAATTAGAGCTGCCAATGTCCAGGGCATCGGTCCCCAAATAGTGTTTTGTTGCTCTTTCTGTGTGTGTATTCACTGCTGAGACCCTTGGCAGCACCGAGACCTCCTGGGGAGGGAGTGAACCCTGCTGAATTGCTCTGCAGGGCAGAAAACCTGCCCCATGGGGCTGCTGCGATGTTTAGGGGGGAAGCAGCCACCGCCTGAACTGCCTTTTCCTAGGGGACGTGCTCGGGGTTATTGCAGAATTGGGCCAAAACATTCTTTTCCGGTGAGAAGTATGTTTTGCTCCACACTGGGCGTGAGGCAAGCTCGCGGCCACCCTGTCACAGCAAAGGTTGCCAGCGCCCAGCCCTCCCACGGCATCATCCTGCCCCACAGCCCTTTACACCAGCTTTGATTTCTCCATCTTGGAGGAACTGCAGATTTTCAGAGCCTGAAGGCTCAGGGCTAAGCACAGGGGCAGTGCTGGGATGTGGATGAGTGTCGGTGGGAGATGCATCACCTCTCAGGTAATATTTTTTTTCTGGGTTTTTCAACGGGAAACCTAGCTAAGAGGGTAGCTTCTCCCCGCTGCCTGCAAGGGGTGATCGCTGGGCTCAGCTGAGTCACATCACACTGAGGACGGATGTTTTGTGCTCTCTGGTTTTATTTTGGAGCAACAGAAGAGAAGTTGCAGCGAAGCAAAAAAAGCAGAGGGAGCTGACAGGCTGCGTGGGGAGTTCAAGCCAAGGGGAAATGAGTGTCAGCAGAGAGGCTCGCACTGGTTTCCATCTCGCCCTTCGCAGCGACCAGGCGCAGGTGTCCACCCCTCCCTTGTTTTTCTGTGCTGAAAAGTTGCATCTGCGCTGCTGTCCCTCCACGGATCCAGTGTATAATGACGCAGTTTCACGAGAGGGTTGTTGTCCTCGTGTTGAAGCCAAAGCCCCAAGGAGGAAACCCGCCAGGGTTGGGAAACGCTCCCCGTGCTGCGCCGTCCCTTTGCTCATCAGCCTGGAGGTGGTTTTGCAAAAATCCCTTTGGCTTCAACACCGCCCGGCTCGTCCCCGGCATTTGCTGCGAGGCCGGAACGGTCCCCGGCGCCGAAACAGCCCCCGGCCCCGCAGGCGGCAGAACTGGGCTGCCCGCTCGCATCTGCAGGCACCTCTCTGGCACCAGGTCCCGGACCCTGCAGGGACCGGAGAGAAAGCACAGCTGAGACTTTTTGGGGAGGAGATCCCTGGAGTGCTGCCCCACCAAAGGGCACCACAAAGGAGGGAGAAGGTCTGGAAAGAGGCATCCCAAACCGCGACTGCGAGGACTCACTGCAGGTGGGGATTCCTGCCCGGGGCACTGAGAGGGGCTGGACGGGTCCCACGCGGCACCGCCGTGCTGCCAGCCTGGCGTAGCAGCAGGCACGGAGCAGGCAGCACCTGCAGCGAGAGGGAGAGCCTGGCCTCACCTGAAATGTGGCACCGGCTGCTTCCAACCTACCCAAAACAGCCTCTGCAGGCAGGGTGGGAAGAGCCACCAGCGTCTCCATCTTCTTTCTGTTCTAAATCACCCGGGCTCTGCTCTTTCCAGCCCATTCCCACACCAAGCCTCTTCCCTGCTTCCATGTGCAACCCCTGCCCAGGTCCCAGAGCCCTTGTGCGTCCCGGCTTTGGGACTGTCCCCATCCTTTGGTGCCAGCCCATCGATTTCAGGGCGCTGTCACTGCCATGACCCTGCTGCCTGCAGGGCTGGGATGAGGGGTGAGCGCCGCCTCACCTTCCCCCTTCCCTAAAACCTGTTCCCCTTCTGACGCTGCCCAGCACCTGGTCTGTGTTTTGCAAAGCTTCAGAGGATGCTGCTGGGGTTGCTCACAAGCCCTGGAGTTACCCTGGGGCCAGCATTAGCCCTCCCAGGGCCAGTGTTAGCCCTCCCAGGCAGTGTTGCCTGTACCGGTCCGTTGAAGCCTTCGACGTGCGATTGCTGCCCCATCCCGAGTAGCAGCTGTGAGCAGTCAGATTTCCGACGGTGCTTCCCTCGAGTCCCGGTGTGAACGGGTGCAGGAACTTCCCACGAGCTGTGAACACACCTAAAATGACCAGAAAATGGGATTTTTGCAGGTTCTATGTAGAAAGAAAGCCCGGGGAACCAGAGGGGTGAGGAGGGTGTTGCTGAGAGTCTCCCCGTGGGGTGCACAGGGATTTGGGGATGCTCCCCGTGTTGGTGTGGGGTTGTAGCCTGGCTCCCATCCGTGGGGTGGGGCTGCACTTACTGCAGGCAGACAGCACCGCCAGCATCAGCAGGACCTTCATCTTCCTCTCACCTGGGCCTGGGAGGAGGAACAGAGAACAGACTGAGTCAGGCAGCGTGGCCGGTCTCTGGGTGATGCACTGCAAACCTTGTCCTCAGAAATCAGGTCACAATCTCCCTGAAATTTAGCAGGAGGAAGGCAGCCGTGCCCCCTTGCATCTGTGTTGCTGCCTCTTGGCCAAAAGCAAACACCTTCTGAAGGTGTCCCACCACCCGAGCATCTCCCACCTCCTGTCCCACCACTTTGGGCACCCAGGACATCACTCTGCAGCACCAGTGCACCAATCCTCGGGGATGCAGACTCCCAGCTGAGTTTTTACCTGAAAGCAATGACACTTTATCTGCAGGCATGGAAAACAGCAGAAAGCAGTGTGTCTGCTGTCTCCTCCCAATATCCCCCCCCCCTGTATTTTTGTTTCCACAGCAGCGGGGCGAGGGTGGGAGTTGCTCACCGGGGAGTCTCTCCGGCTCTGCTTCCTCAGTGCCAACGCGTCCTCCCGGGCAGAGGATGCCCTCCGTGTCCGGCCCGCGGGCTCTGGGCTGGAAATGCTGAAACAACTCGTCTGTCCCAAAACCGCTTCATGCTACGCCCCTTCCCTCATCGGCCAAACCCCCCCCCTTTCCCCATGGGCTGCAGCCCAGAGTGACGCAGGGGCTGAGGCTGAGTTTTTGCAAAGTTTGGGGAGGATGATGTTGAGTGTTTATGGCGATTTCTCTCCCTGCCCAGCGGCAGCTCACAGGGGACCGGGATGGTTTCAGCACACTGTTTATTTTCACATTGATTAAATTTACAGCAGCACTAAGGTGGTCGGTGCAGGCAGGGACACAGGGCGATCCGGGAGCAGAGCCCACATGTGTGCTCCAGCCCCGTGTCCTGGCTCCCATCATCAGCACCGATGCTTCGGGTAGAAGAGGTAACGTTTGCTGTAGGTCCAGATGTTTTGCTTCAGGCAAAGGGCCAGACTGCGGTCGCACTCGCAGGAGAGCTGGGCACACCAGGAGCTCCTTCCTGCAGACACAGGGGAGCCCAGGGTCAGCCCCAACTTGGGGGGGTGGGGGGGTGCCACCCACTTTGCCAGGGTCCAACTTACTGCAGGAGGGGCTGCCTCTGCGCCAGCCGTAGTGGTATCCCTGAATCTTGGCATTGCAGTGGTAGCTCAGGAGATTGTTGTAGCAGGTATCGTGCCGCTGGCAGCATCTATGAGGGACCTCGAGGCTTTGGGCATTGGGATTTTTTACCCCCTGCCCCCCAAAATTGAAACTATACAAGGATGTGTTTGGGCAGGAAGATTTTTTAAATGTGTACTTACCTGTCTGTGGCATCCTTGGGCTGCCCTTTGCCCCCCCAGCCACAGTAGCAGCCATAGGAGGAGTAATGCAGCAAGGCGTTCTTCCCCGTTGTCTTTGTGATCATCTTGTGCAGATTCCAGAGGCTCCCATGAGCTGGGGACAAGCCTGGGGGGGGGATATCAGTGGGGCTCACGCTGACACCCAGCTCCTCAGCAGCATCCCTGGCCCTCCGGCCCCCAAACTGGTACCAGGCTGGTGATGTCTTAAACATGAGTAGGTGCAATGGAGAGGAAACATATCCCTGGCTCAGTGCAGGAGAGTTGCTGTGTGTTTCAGAGAGGTGGTCAAGAGGAAGGATTAAGAAATCACCAGTTTGGTCCTAATTTCCACAGACGTAAGTGCACAAGGGCTGTAGGGCGTGCGCGAGCGAGGACACTTACCCCAAGCAAACAGCACAACGAAGGTGAGGAGAGAGTTCATCTTTTTGACAGCCCTGGGAAAGGAAACCAAATCATTTGCTCACTATATCAATCACTTTCACCTTGTCTGGGGGCAGAGATGCTCCCCACCTCTGGGAATTAGGGGAGGGGGTTGAGCATGGGTCCATTGCCTCGGCACAAAGTGCTGCTGTGTCGGGGATGGGAAGCGATGGGAATCGGATGGTGGAGGGGTGGGAAAAAGCAGAAGGGAAGGGAAGGGAAGGGAAGGGAAGGGAATTTGGAGGAATGATCAGCCCTTGAGGGCTGCACCCCACCGCTCTGCCTCTGGGCTGGCATCTCAGGTAGCCTCTCCTTTGCTCCTGCTTTCCCAGGTGGACCGTGCTCCCCGCTTGCACCATGGCTTTTGGTTAAAGTAGGAAAGGGAGGCAGAACATTCCTCCTCCATCCCTGCTTACCTCAGGAAAGATGCCACTTGCTTGCAGGGCCCTGTGGCTGGCAGGATTTGCTTTATATAGGGTTTGGCCCTGCCATCAGATGCTTGTTTTGCCCAAATCTTGCTGACTGGGCTTTTCTGCAAAGGAGAAGGTGTCATCCTTCCCCTTTACAGGAATGCAAGAAATCCCCCCAGCGCCTCAGCAACATACCTCACACACAGGGGCTGGTGCCGAGTGGGAAGAGCCGGCAAAACAGCACATTTCGTGCCCAAGGAGGAAGCCAGCACTCTCTGCCCCCAGCCAGAGATGTCCAAGGGCCCTTTTCTCTGCTCTCTCCAACCACAAGTGAAGTAGGTTTGGGGTTTTCAAGAGGTTGGACAGTTTGAGAACAGTCCCTGTGCCCCACTGCAAAGGTGATTCAGGGTGAGTTATCCTTTCTTTGGGAAAAGTATATTGGCAGCAATAAAAGCATCTTGAAATATGCAGTTCCCAGAAACACAGAGTTACGCAGATATCAGGTGATTAAACACTCATCCACCATGAGAGAAGAATGAAGTGAAATGGATGTTTTGGGATGAATGAATGCAGCTTCCCTTTATTTCTCTCTGTATGATTTTCCCCCCTCCTCATTGCAAACCCTATGCAGAACTCATCCCTCATGGAGAAATCATTTAGTCACCAACTTGCTGCCCTCTTAAATTAGCATCACCCTGGGATGGATGAGGCTTTGAAATCGTCCCTCCTCTCTGGGTAACTATTCTTTCACTTTAATTTTGGCCACCATTTTTACGTGTCACAGGAGGGTCTCAAATAGTCTCTCACATGTTCCCACTTCCATTATTCCTGTAAAAACAACTTTTGGATGTATCTCTCCTGCGCCTTAATGCACTGTTTTGTTTTAGCCTCAAGAGTTTCAGCTAGTGGGAAGGGGTGTTGGGAGAAGCCAAAAAACCCAACTGCCATCAGGGCTCACTGCTGCAGGATTATTTTGTTAACAAACCCCAGGGAATTTTACTTGGTGGCATTTATTTGTCCCTGTTTCTTGATGCAAAGTGCTCCTCCATAGCTGGGGATCTGGCAGCAGTAACATTGCTCTGCAGCAAGATGGACCTGCTGTCGGGCCTTCGGCTTTTCCAGGCTGCTGTTGGGACCATGGAAATACTGGGGTGTCAGGCAGATGGTGTGGCTGAGGTGTGAGATGCAAAAAAAACCCCCCCAGACTCAGCAGCCCAGATGCCACCATTGCAGTGCCTCGATCGACAGAAAACCACCACAGAGAATAATTTGAATACTTTTTATTATCTTTGCTGGGAAATGAAACCAAAAGAAAAAAAAAAAAAAAGAGGAGGAAGGGACAGAAAAATGGAAACTGATGTGATTTTGTGGGGGATTTTCTTCTGTAATGTGAGCGTGCCCTCCCTCACCCTGAGCATGAGCCTGTGGGAAGCCTTATGGCTCCGGCTCTGGTCAGCCCCCACATCAGGCTTTTCTCGCCATAGTGATGGGGAAAGCCCATCAAAATCTGCAACCTTATGTGCAGATTTCCCCTCCTCAGCACTGGAGCTTGCTTCCTCGGCATTTCAGCTTGAAATAGAAGCGGTAGGATTTATTGTAGGAATGCAAAGTGCTCGCGAAGCACAAAGCCACGGCCTTGTCGCACAGGCACGTCTCTCTCTTGCACCAGCTCTGCTCGTTACCTGCAGGGGGAAAACACGGTGAACTTCAGTGGCTTTTCTGGTTGGCAGTGGTGATGGGGTCCCCTTGGGGCACCCTCAAATGCCTGGAGTTGCCCAGGGCAAGCCCATGAAGCGTGTCATGGTGCTCGCCCTCTGCAACCCACGAACATCCCTTGCAGTGCCTGTTTATTTATCATACACTGCATCCTCCTGCATGCACCCGACCGGGCACCAGGCTGGTTTCGTCCCGAGGGGGGGACGTCCTCTGTGTACCCTGCTCTGGGAATGGGGTGTCACGGGGAGCGGTGCTGGTTCCCCACCTCTGTGGGACACCCCCCCCAGCCCCAGCTCGGCAGTACTCACTGCAGGTGATGTTGCCATTGTCAGTGTCGAAGTGGTAGGGGGTTATCAGGGGCCTGCACTTGCCCTCTCTCAGCTTCCTGTAGCAGCAGTCGTGGGCCAGGCAGCATCTGTGGGGGACACCACGTCAAACTGCTGCCCCCGAACCCTCCTCCCCACGCCTGGAAGGTAAAGTCCAGTCCAGCCTCAAATTTAAGGTGACTGGGAGGAGGGGATGACAAGGCAGCAGCGACGTGTGGCTGAGGAGCAGCACAAAACCCTCTCAGAGCTCACCGCTGCCGGCCAGCTGCCAGCGAGGAGATTTTTTGGGGACCCCCCCCGCAACCCTGCACCGGGGCAGCGAGTGGCAATGCTTTCCCAGGTACTCACTGGTCGGTGGAGTCCACCGGGGTCCCTCTGCCCCCGACGCCGCAGAAGCAGCCGTACCAGCTGTAGGAGAGCAGGGCGCTTTTCCCCGTGGTCGACTGGATCATCTGCTCCAGCTCCAGAACGCTGCCGCGAGCCGGCAGCAGCCCTGCAGAGGGGCAGAGGGACGGGCTCGCGCCGGTGCGGGGCAAGGAGGCAGGCGGCATCCCCCGCACCTCACACCGGGCAGAGGAATTAAATAACTGGCATTACTGGAAATACACACTTTCAGGCAGGTGAACTGTGAGAAGTCCCCAAAACCCCCTCAGGATGATATTTGGTTTTTACAGCTACCTGATTTGGTTTGGTGGAAGGTGTTACTGGTCTCTGCACAGGCTGTGCTGCACTCACATCCTGCAACCAGCAACACCACGTTGGCAGGATCAGCCCTGGGCCTGGCACAGGCAGATAAGCAGGTGACAACAGGCTCCAGGGCCTCTTAAAATAAATACAGATCTGAGCATTCCAAAGCCTCACCGTCACAAAGACCTCCAGGACTACAGCAGTGCTATACACAGCATTAGAGAGAAACTGCAAAATTGAAACAAAAACCTGGATCGTGCACAAAATCTCTGGTTTTGTATGTCTTTTTGGCCAAACAGATGAGACTCTGGCCTGGTCCGGTGAAACCGGGGCACTTACCGCAAGCCAAGGTCATGGCAAAGAGGAGATTCTTCATCCTCAGGCTGGCCCTGGAGGAGGAAACCACAACGGTAGGCGATGAGCAGCACCGGGGGGGCAGGACAGATTCTGTCCCCGTGCCCACGCCGAGGGCACGGAGCCGGTCAGGTGCACCCTGGCAGCACCGCAGGGTGACATTAGTGTCACCATGGATACAGAGCATTGTGGGGGTGCCCGCAGCTGACTCCTGATGGGGCCTTTTGATTCCAGTTTGGGGATGCAGCGCTTGGCAGGGATGTGTGCAGGGACACAGGGGTTGTCCTGCCTGACAGGACTGACAGAGAAGCTCACCGCCTGCAGCCTACCACCACCACCCCCCAAGCTGTCTGATGAAATAACAGGGCAATAAAATCCCCTCTATCCTTACCCCGCCCAGACCTTGCATCTCCAAGAGTGCTGGTTAGCGAGTTTGCTTTATATAGATGGTGAGGTCCATCCCCTCTCTCTGCGATGCAGCTTTTGGATGAGGCCAGTCAAGGTCTTGGCTGTGGTTTTAAAAGCCGTGGGATTTGGTGGCTGAAGAGACGGGACAAAAGTGATTTACAGCCAGGAGGTGCAGAGCTGGCACCGCAGAGGTGGTAGCATCCTTGTTCCAGCTGCAGAGGTGGCACTTTGGCCTCAGTGTTGTCCCGAGTGGGTGCTTGGTTTTACCAGCTCACACTCTGCAACCTCAGAGAGGGTTTCTCTTCGGTCTGTCTCTTGCAATTGCCCCTCCAAATCATGTCTGCATCCAAATCCGGCCGTGCCGAATGGCAAGGGGAGGCAAATGGAGGACAGTGAATGCCGTGGTCTCATTTCGTGGGTCTGTAGTTTCCCTGTCCTGCCCTCAGGGCACGGGAGACTGGCAGCGCGTGGGCAAGGGGTCTGCGAAATTAAATCAGCAGCAGAAGGCTGGAAACGCCATGGAAACACACCTTGAAATGCTTTTTGAATGGTTTATTTAGCCACTATAACTGAGACATGACACAAAGACACAAGGGAGGCAGAAAACCAGAAGAGATAAGAAACAAAAGCTGCTATCTATCCTGCAAAACCTTGGGGCCCAGAGCAAACACACACACAAACACGCAGTATCATGCCTGTATGCAGGGCTCCACCCTCAGTAATTAACCACACTTTTAGGGAAGGGAATTCTGGGGGGGAGACTGTAAGGGAACGGTTCCTTGTTGAATTTCTTAAGAGCCGCCAAAGCTGCAAGAGACGTCACCTCCCAGCTGTCCCCTGAGGCTGGCACAGATGTCTGTCCTGGGGTTTTTCTTCCCTCTAACCTTTTATTTCCTGCTGCTAAAAAGCCATCCAAGCCTGATAAGGAAGGGATGGGGAGCCACAGCTCACCTGCCTTCCCGCTCAGGCATGCTGAGTGGCTCACTCGCCATCTGCACAAGAAATGCCACGATGGCGCTGGGCGTCACACCAACACCCAAACCCCCCGCTTTGTCCTCCTGACTTCTAAAACCATGGCATCCCTGATATTAAGCATCCCCTTCCCAACCCATCCACAGAAAACTTCCCTTACAGAAAATTTTCCCCGTTGTGGTGGTCATTAGTTGCACTGCTTGTGCTCCTGTGTTTTGGTGTTGCAGGTCCTTGCCCTTGGAGGGGCAGGGGGTTGCTGCTGTATTGGCCCTGATGGGGAAAGTGGCCCAGATCTCCTGGGTTTTTGCTGTAGAGTTTGGCTAAACCTGTGTGAAAGGCATCGTCTGGGGGCCTAACCAGAGACCAGAGGGCTGGGATCATTCAGATTGGTGGCTTTAACCAAATCTCCTAATTTTAAGCCCTCCCTTTCTGCAGAGTATCTCAGGAGAGCAAGCCCATGAAGCTAAACCCTCTCTTCAATCGAGCCACAAACCCAAGGGTTTAAAAACCAGCTGTGGAAGATTATTCCACTGGAAGTAGGAAACATTTCAACCTTTCCATGGGGCAAGTGAAGAGGGGTATCAACCCCCACATCTGTTTGTTCAGAGCCTTATTGAAATGTAAATACACCCAGTGCTTTGATCTGCAAAGCTTGTGTCTTCGGTGCGATATTGCTGAACATCCTGTGGATGGGATAAGCTGATATGTGACTATTTTCTTACCTTTTTAGTGCGTGGGTATGCCTTGATCTTCCCCACCCACAGGGTAGATAAGTTATCTTAGTTATTTATTGCTTGCTGCCTTTGGTGGGCATCTGTTAGTGGGAGAAGCATCTGGTTAACTAGAATCGGGTTTAAAAAGGGATTAACGGGAAGAGATGGAAATGTCTGTGTTACTTTGTGTGTTCCCACAACGAAAACTGACTCAGGGATCATTTATAGCCCGGGGAATCAGGACTCCTCTCTTTCAGTGCACACCAGGATGTCAAGCTTGCAGGCTTCAGCTCTCCCAGCACAAAGAAACCTTAAAATGTCCCCCAAAGAAATTGGTTTATGTCCCCAGATGACCTTGTGCGTAAAGTGTAATTTTTTAAAGGCGTTCTCATCAAAACTGATGAGTTTGGGGTTTATTTGTCTGGTTTTATTCAGCAATCGCTCGTGTAATGCTGTTCAATCACACCATTGTGGACCTCACGTCATGGTGGGCTGTTAAAACCTAGTCCTGTTGTTCCCACCCTGCTGCCTTTGCTTAGAAGGTGTAACACTATTTTTAAACTTTCAGGGTTAAAAACCCAAAAAGGCTCTTAATATTCAAAAAGGGTGACAAAGTTTTGCTCAGGGTGGGATGGTGGAAATGAGAGCTCCTGCGGGAGGGGTGGGGACAACCTCGGTATCACACTGATTGGGAGGGGACCCTGCTGCCACCCCCCGTCTCCCTTGTGCCCCTCAGGACCAAGCCTCTGGCTCTGCATGAGGTGGCGGGGCTGCCCCCGCGCCACCATCGAGGCCCGACATCTCCCTGTCCCAGCGCAGACCCCACATGGCGGCCCAGCGATGTCCCTCCCGCCGGCACCAGCGTGTCGCTGCCGTCCCCGGCCCAGGCGTGTCCCCCACACCGGGGATGCCCAGGCCTGGTTCCATCCCTCAGACCCACACCCAGCCTCCGGACCATCCGCGCCGGGGCAGCCAGGCCACACCGCGGGCCCGGCCTCACCGCGCTCT